TACACTATTTTTCACGCACTATATACTAACGCACGTTTCCTTTCTCTCGTTTGTTCACTCTGTTCACTCATTCACGCACTCACTCTTTCGCTACGTGTTACCGCACCTCATTCGTCGTGGCTCACTGTCGAGAAAACATTGATGGGTATTTTTTATTTTTCATAACAACATCCAGATTTGCGAGAGAAACCTCAGCACCATCGCCGTTCTTGGCTAACAGCCTCGGTCACTCGGGCAGATTTTTATGTACAAACTTCATTACCATCTATATACATACCATGTCTGATGACGAAGGACGGCACCGAAGCGCCTCCTCTCGACATCGACACAGTCACACATCTGATACACATAACAACTTGAAATTTGAGACACTGAAGTCAAGATTTATTGTGGTCCTTCACTTCTCGGTTTCATCTTCTATATAAAGATCATTGCTCGTGCCTAAATTGTCTTTATTACTCTCTTTGCCATCTAGGACACCTAGACTTCCTTGTACATATAGTCCTTTTTTATTTTAACAGATAGCAAGTATCAACTAACGAACTAGAACTTAAAACTGCCTTTGATTAGCCGTTTCTTAGAGTATCTGGTGATGATAAAACTACATGATAATACTATATTTTAAAGCCAGATAAAAATAGAGATTAATCATATTTCTCTTCCGTCCCTCACACCGTCACCTCCTCCGTGAGTGTCGCGCGATCGGATAAACTGTACAGGATGAACGCCCTCGCTCTGTCGGGGTCACGGATTTCTCTAAAGCGTCCTTGGTTGCGGCGCGGCGTGGAGTGGGCGGAGCGGACTGACCTGTCCTCCAGGCTCAGGTCGCATTCGCCCACGGGTCCCCCTCGCGCGCTCGTGTCGTCCAGGTTCTCCAGACTCCGACACACTCTCTCGGACAGGTCTGCGGTCCCCTCACTCGACACACTTTTCCCCAGGAGGAACTCGGCACTGCGGCAGCCCATCGCCTTCAGGTCCTTGGCCTCCGAGTCACTTTTGGTGTCCCCCTCGGACTTGGTTTCACAGGTACACAGGTTCTCGTGCGAGACGCTTTGGCAGCGGCAAGAGGCGGTCTCGCTGGTGTCATGCGGGGCGCTGTAGCTGGTGCGAGACAGCTCCTCCTCGTCCATGTCCTCCCGCCACCTCTGCTGCGCCAGGTCCTCCTCGCCCCCGCACGAGTGGTTGTTGCAGTGCCCCCCGTCGGCCGCGTTGCAGTCCTTCTTCGGCGGGCCTCCCCCTCCTCCTCCTCCTCCTCCTCCTCCTCCACCTCCTCCCCCTCCTCCTCCTCCTTCCGCTCTCCGGTCCTCCTCCTCCTTCACGGGGGACACCTTGGTCGGCGACGGGATCTCGTCTTTGAAGGTGGCGCACACGATCTTGTCCGTCATGTTGGCCAGGATGTTGTTGACGTAGGGCTTCATGATGATGCCGTCGTTGCACTTCTTCTCCCTCCGGCTCTCCGCCCTCCGCAGCTCCCGCTCCGCGTTGGTCTCCTTCTTCTCCGACACAACGACGGTGGTGACGGGCGGCGCCGACGGGGCCGACGTGAACGAGGCCGTGTTGGCCGCGTCCTGCATGGCCTTGATCTTGGCCGCCATGCCCCGGTTTCCCGCGCGCAGGTTGCGCTCCTTCAGCGCCTCCAGCTGCATGTACACCTTCCGGAACTCCTCCTGCGGGGGGGACGTTGGGCACTAAGTGATCGAATAGCATATATATGCAAAACGCACACATACACACATGCAAACGCACACACCCACGCACACACACACACACACACACACACACACACACACACACACACACACACACACACACACACACACACACACACACACACACACACATACACAAACACAAACATAAACACAAACACAAACACAAACATAAACACAAACACAACACACACAAACACAAACACAAAAACAAACACAAACACAAACACAACACACAGCCTCGGTCCTCCTTACCAGCATGTCCCCCTCGACGTTCCCCGAGGACGACGTGGTGGTGAGTAAGTTCTGGCTGTTCCCGGCGTTGGGGCGCTGCAGGAACTTGGCCACGTTAGGCTTCGTCATGGAGGAGCCCTCGTCCTTCCCCTGTCCCTTTAGCACCAGGTAGGCCTATGGGGGAAGAGGGATTGGGGGGGAGGTAGGAAGGGAGGGGGGGAGAGGGAGGTAGGAAGGGAGGGGAGGGAGGGAGGTAGGAAGGGAGGGGGAGGGAGGGAGGTGGGGGGTAGGTGGGGGGGAGAGGAGTAGGAAGGGAGGGGGAGGGAGGGAGGTGGGAGAGAGGGAGGTAGGAAGGGAGGGGGAGGGAGGTAGGAAGGGAGGGGGAGGGAGGGAGGTGGGTGAGAGGGAGGTGGGTGAGAGGGAGGTGGGTGAGAGGGAGGTGGGGGGTAGATGGAGGGGGAGTAAGAAGGGAGGGGGAGAGAGGGAGGTAGGAAGGGAGGGGGATGGAGGGTAGGTGGGGGGGGAAGTAGGAAGGGAGGGGGATGGAGGGGGGGGGGAGGTGGAGGCCGAGGTGGAGACGGATGGGGTTAGTAGGGGAGGTGGAGGAGGTGGGGGGAGAAGGGAGTTAGATGGTTAGTTTGAACATAATAATTACTCTTATCTAAATGTTCATATTTCTGTTTAATTTATGTTTAGAATTTTATCAATGCCTATTCACACTCAGTTGTGTATAGATGGATACATTAAAACACACACAGATATACACTCACAGACTCCACAGTAGGTATATGTACGCTGTATATACAAGTAATGACTGTTGATGTCTCTGTGTGTCTCTAAATCACAGCGTCTCTGTGTGTCTCTAAATCACAGCGTCTCTGTTTGTCTGTCTCTTTGTCTGTGTCTCTCTGACTCTGTCTGTCTGTCTGTCTCTGCCTTTGTCTGTTTGTCTCTGTCTCTGACACTGTTTCTCTGTCTGTCTGTCTGTCTGTCTGTCTGTCTGTCTGTCTGTCTCTTTCCTTCACCCCAGCTCTCTCTCTCTCTCTCTCTCTCTCTCTCTCTCTCTCTCTCTCTCTCTCTCTCTCTCTCTCTCTCGCTCGCTCGCTCGCTCTCTCTCTCGCTCACCTTTCTACCTTCCTCCCTTCCTCCCTCTCTCCTTCATTCCCTCTTTCTCCCTCCTTTTCCCCTCTCCCTCCCTCCTTTCCTCCTTTCCCTCTCCTTTCCTTTTCCTCTCTTTTTCACTCACTTCCCTCCTCCCATCTTTCCTCCCTCCCTCCCTTCCTCCTTCCTTCCATCTCACCCTCCCGCCCTCCTTTCCTTTCTCCTTCTCTCCCTCCTATCTTTTATCCTTCCCTCCTTCCATCCCTTCTTTCCTTTCTTCCTTCCTCCTTCCCTCCCTCCTTTCCATTTTCCTTCCCTTTCTCCCTTCCTTTTTCTCTCCTTCCTTTCCATTTTCTTTCCCTCCTTCCCTCCCTCCTTCCCCTTCTCTCTTCCCTCCCTCCTTTTCTTTCTTCCTTTCTCCCTCCCTCCCTCCTTTCCTTTCTTTCTTCCCCCTTCCCTCCCTCCTTTCCTCTCTCCTTCCCTCCCTCCTTTCCTATCTCCTTCCCTCCCTCTTATCTCTTATCCTTCCCTCCTTCCATCCCCCCCTTTCCTTTCTCCCTTCCTCCTTCCCCCCGTCCCTTTTGATCACAGCATCTCCATGGTAATGGTTTTATCCTCTCCATCCTACAGAGCTCATCCTAATCCTCTCTCTCATATTCTAACGTCCTCCATTTACTTAAAAGTTTCATCCTATATCGCTTTGTCTGTGGTCGAGATTGATTTCCTCTCTCGTCAGTTTGCTTAAAGGAAAAAAAAAAAAAAAAGTTTGTGAGAGCAGTACATGCGTTGTTATATTGTTACCTTTTTTCAGAAATACATGGACTTAATTCCTCATGCGTATATGTTCTTTGCAAAGGTAAGCAGTGCTTTGTAAATACGCTCTCTGTTTTGTAAGTATACATACTCCTTCGTAAAGACACGCACTCATTCGTAAAGATACAAACTCTTCTAGAAAGATGTGCACTCTGCCACGCACCCCTTTCTCCTTCGCAAAAACTGCTACGTAACTATACTCAACTTCACAAAGATACGCACAGACATTATTTCATCTCTAAGACACGCACTCCCTCACACACACGCATTACTCCGCAAAGACACGCACTTCTTTCCAAAAAGTGACAAGCACTCCTTCGAAACTACACGCACTCTCCCTTATAAGCCGCGCACTTTCCCTCACCGCGCACTCCCTTCCTCACCAATCTCTCCTTCCTCCCCCTTCATCTCTAATGGGGTCTTCGTCCCTTTAATGGTTCCTTCCATTTGGATAAAACGCCGCTCTTCTGTTCTCTCTCTCTCTCTCTCTCTCTCTCTCTCTCTCTGTCTGTCTGTCTCTCTGTCTGTCTGTCTCTCTCTCTCTCTCTCTCTCTCTCTCTCTCTCTCTCTCTCTCTCTCTCTCTCACTCTCTCTCTCTCTCTCTCACTCTCTCCCGCACACTCCCTCTCTTCCATCATTTACCAGCTTCAGTGCTTCTTTTATTGGCCTGCCCGCTTACTCTCTCGTCGCTTTATTTTGGTTCTTTGGCACTTGCGCGTTTTATGGTCTTCCCTCCTCCCTTCTCCCTCCTTCCCTCCCCCCCACTTCCTCGTCTTCTTCTTCTTATCTTCTTTTCATTTATTATTTTTTTTTCTTCTTCTTCTTCCCCTTCTCCTTTCCCTCCTCCTCCACTTCCACTATCTCCTCTTTTGCCTCTTCCCCTTCTTCTTCCTCCTCTTCCTCTTATTGCTCCGCCCCCTTCTCCCCCTCTTCTTCCTCCTCCTTTCCCTCCTCCCATTTCCCCTTCTCCTCCTCCTACTCCCTCTCCTTTCTTCCCTTCTCCCTTCTTCCCCTTCCTCCTTCTCCTCCTCCACTTCCTCCTCCTCCTCCACTTCTTCCTCCTCCTTTCCCTCCTCCCATTTCCCCTTCTTCTCCTCCTCCTCCCCCTCCTTTCTTCCCTTCTCCCTTCTTCCCCTTCCTCCT